AAAAAAAATTACATCTTTATTAATAACAAATTAATTATTAAACAAAAATATTAAATATAAACTAATCAAACGTGCATTGCACGTTGTTTACACCTCGTGTATATATATATATATATATATATATATATGTATTCAAAAGAAAGCCTTTATTATTGCCTACTTTCCCTCTGCCATATATCAATTCAATAGACAATTGACAAATATGGAAACTGGTGCCTTTAGTAGGCTGAACAAACTTCTTGATTATCTGCCACCAAATGAATCTTTTTCTTTCTTTACTTGTTTGACCATTAAAATTTTATCTGACATTCGTACAATATGTAGGTAGTAGAAGCAGTTTTAACAGCTTTGAATTCCTTATCTAGCATAGAGAACTCTTTTTTCGTATTATTTCAAGATTAGGGTTCTAAATGGAAGAAAATCTTCAAGCAACAAAACGTTTTTTCAAGGTTATGACACGTGATTTCCACACTAAATTGGTATGTTTTTCTTCTTGGATTCGCATTCTTTAACGTCAAATATTTCTTCTGTGCTTTATTTCAATCTAACAGATAAAAAGAACAGATATTCCGTAAAATAATTATCAGAACAATAATCTTTTAGGGTTTATGCTGATGCTATATCCTTTGCCATTGATATAAAAGTTTACCTTTTTTTTTTTCCATTTGATCTATGGGCAGGCTCTGCCAAAAGATTTTTGCAAAGATCTATTAAATGTAAAGAAATCAGCAACTATAAGGAGTGGCAAAGGAATCTGGAAGGTCAGTGTTAGTAAAGATAGTAATAATATGGTGTGTTTCGAAGAGGGATGGGGTGATTTTGTTCGCCAACATGACCTTGCTGTTGGAGATGTTGTCGTGTTTAAACACATCGGAGAAATGCATTTCAACGCTTTTGTTTTTGATTTTACTGCCTGTGAGAAAAAATTCGACGAAAGTTTAGCCGAAACAAATGGAGGATCTGGTGGATCATGTAATAATCTGGAAGCCAGCAAGAGTAAGTTTTGTAATACACACACACACACACCCCTCTTTAAGAGCTTGCTTGGGAGCTTCGGGTATCAGTTTATCGTTTTTTATTTATTTGCAAAGGGTTCGATTTTGAGTAGTATAGAATTAGTAGTGATTTTTAAAACAATTTAATCCATTCTTCAGAGTTTATTATTCAATTATTTTAAAAAATTAAATTACTGAAATTTTTTATAAGAAATTTTTAGTCAATAAGTGGTATTTTACTTGAGAGAATTTTTTGACTTAAAAGTGAAATAATTATTTATATTTAAAATTTAAAAGTATAAGTTTATTAAGTTAATTTTATACTTATAAGTATTTTTACCAGTGCAAAAAAATTGAACAAGCATTTATTTTCTGAACACCCAAAAATAAGTTTGAAGAAAAATGCCTAAAGGGCGTTAGCAAATTTAGCTGCTTATTTCCTATGATTTATTTGTATAATAAGAGCTCCTACTTACTGATTTGTTAACTCCTTATTTTTTACGAAAAACTGCAGCAAATGCAGGTGGTTCATATAATCCATATTTTATCATAACAATTAAAGACCACAATTCACCTGCATCCAAAGGGAACCGTGTGGTGAGTTTGGCCTTTCAAATTCTTGCTCTTTCTCTCGTTACTGTAGATTAGTGTACTTGTAATGGGAGAAAAGAACAGCTTGCAAACATGTTTGATAATATGAATTTCAAATTTTCAGCATATCCCCGCGGAATTTTGGAAATCAAACGGGCTGAATAAGAAGAGTAGCGTAAATCTAAGAGATCCTTCAGGCAAGAAATGGTTGGTGGAACTAAAATTCTACGAAAGTGCTGGTAATAATCGTGTTGTTATGTCTCGAGGCTGGAAGCAGTTTTATGAATCCAACGAGCTCAAAAATGGGGATGTTTGCACTTTTCGACTCAATCACAATCCCGAAAGCTCAATTGTTGCTTCAATGGATGTGCATATTTCACCACTTCCAAGTTAACTCTCTCTGCTTTTGACATGAAGAATCAAACATTGTTCGTGAATAATCGTGATTCAGGTTTTAACGCTTATTATGGAAATGTTACATGAATGAATTATCATCATTATTATTTTCTTTTCAAGGAGTGAATGGAGGGAAGGGAAGATATATATATGAATCCACAATTCTTAACCAAGTGCATGGTGAATTGGTTACTTCTGCTTTTAACTTTGTCATCTCTAATTATTATCAATCATGATACACATACATCATTATTTACATCATTTCTTATACTTTGTCAGGTAACAATCCACTATTGGACAGTTAAAAAATTAAATAATTTTTCCTCCAATCATTTTTAAAATGACAAGGACGATGTATATATGGAGTGTACATCTAGCATTTTTGAATTATTAGTCAAATCTAAGAGCATCTTCTAATGTTAATTACACTAAAAACATTTTCACATTAAAAATAGAAAATGTCCACAAATTATCCAATACATTTCTAGAATTACGTGATGCTAACTCTTAAAAGGCAAACAAGTCCACAACAATTTAATCTCTCTTTTCCAGTTATTCATTTTCACACTCTTACCTTATTAAGCCCATAAATCATATTTTTAAAATAAATTTTAATAAAAAAATGATAAAATATATAATATAATTAAAAAAATACGAATTTCAATAAATGTGTGAATAGAATTAATTGTTGACTTTGACTCAATATTTTAATTGAATTTTAATTCAAACCGAACATTGGCTAAATATATTGCATTATAGAAGAAACTCGTTGAAATTCAAATTTGAATTAGGTCATCTATTCGTTAAACATTAAGAACTTGTTTGATGTTTAACTATTTTCCATGATGTTTTTCAAGTTTCAACTTTTTAGTTGTTTGATAGCCAAATTTTTCTTGGCAATTAGTTTTCCCCCCACCCCCGAACGTGACCCTGTTTTCCTTGAATATATTTTCCCACCACTGTGGTGAGAAAATGGTTTTCTAGCTTTTTTTTTTTGTTTTTTTTTGGACAATGGAAACAAATTCTATCCCCAATTGTAAAACAAAAAAAATTCTCTTTAAAGACAATCTCCATGGAAAACAAATTATACGAACACAAAAATATCCAAAATTTCAACATTTTTTATGTAAAAAATTATATCAATCAAACACAATTAATTGACAATTTCCTAAAAAACAAGTTCTAGACAATTATTTTCTCTGAAATTCGTTTTTTTTTCACCCATTTTCCATTGTTGCAATCAAACAGAACCTAAAAGCCTTTCTAATTAAATGCTACATATATTGCACTCCTTCGGATATATTAAAAATGCTCAAATATTTCAAGCATGCCACGTGAATGTGACTTCCTCTCTGCATAAAGAAACAATCGAGTCAAGATGTTCTATTACGAACTTCCCTATTCCACATTATAAAGTGAACATTTTTTTCTTCTTGTCTCTTTCCATGATAAAGAGATACAATTCATTGCATTTGAATGCACATATATTCATTCGTACATAAATAAGTGGACATATTTTTTACTGTTGGGGAAGATTACATGCTAAATAAGAGCCTTTTTTTTTGTTAACTGAAGAATTTTGGCTAAAAACTGAACCAAAATCATTTCATTCACTTGACAATTGAAAACCATGGAAACAAAAACGAAACTACCGGCTTTTGGCCACGATGATGATTTGACAACGGCTTTCATGATTTTGGGGGTAATAAGCAATTTACTTCAGATCACAAAATCGATAATGACAATTTGACATATTGGGGAACTAAATTTGTTAAACCAGCTGATACGTAATGTGCAGGCAATAAACACTATCATCCGTCCTCGAGTAAACTTCAAATCATATAAAATGAATTCAAAACTACTTATAGAGGCAACCAATCCCTCCCCGAAGCATCCAGTGTACCTCATCAAACCTCATCGTTCATTTCTTGTGTGTAAAAAATCACTATTCGTTCTGACCTTCATCTTTAACAAGCTTGATCATGTCATCGATACGAAGAATAGTTATTGCTGCTTCCGTAGCAAACTGACACACAAAAAAAAAGTACAGAACATTTAATCAGACATTTACAACGTGCTAAAGAGCTCAAATTTCAAATTACAGACGCGTACCTGTATTATCTTCACTTTGCTCATTGCAGGCTCAATGACTCCTGCTTCTAAATTGTTTCGTACAGTACCCTTCAACAGGTCAAGACCCATGCTGCAACCGTAAGAGGAAGGCATGGTCAGAGAACATCTTGAAAAACATCAAACCAGTTTGACAAAAAATAATAATAATAAAGAAAAACCTGTTTAAGAACAAAAAATCTTATTCCATGACAATAATGTAGGTTCCCCCATTAAAGTTTCCCATCAAATGAAATAACGAATTGTAATAGGTAGGAGGAGGTTCCAAGAACTAAAGTACCTAGTTTGTTATGACCAATGCAGATCATATGTCTAGCATAAAGAGTACCAAAAACATTCTTTACTATTTACTATAAGTGGTTGAGTCTGCTAGAAGATCTTCACAACTCGATCATCAAGCTCTAAACAGGTATCGCAAGTACATATACTTTATCTTGCTTCATCCAATATTCTACTGATCACCGGGTAAATCCTCACGAATGAAATAGCAAATGCTAACAACATATATTCACAAGAAACCAAATGAAACTGAATTTGAATCACTGCTAAAGAAAATGATAGCAAATCCTTTGGACCAATATTGGGTAGAAAACACTCGTGGAAATGTAAAACTACTCGGTAATTTCCGAAGCAAACTACAATATACTGAGAGCCAAACCTTACATTCTCCAAAAACAAAATTGATTCAAGTACCTTGATAAATGCTTCTTATCTGCTTTGGTTTGTGAAGTGTGGTGATATGCACGTAGCTTAGCAACCAACTCAGTTGCATCTTTAGCAGCATTCACAGCAAGCACCTGCAGAGAAATATTCCAAAGTTGGTTAAGAAATCCAAAGACGAGTTATGAGAATAAGAGACTGATTTTATCTCTGAGTTAAATATTTTTGTTTCATGGATGACCTTCGGTATAATTAGTAAAGATTCCGCAAACTCTGCAATAGCCAGCTGCTCCCTAGATCCAAGAGTAGTGGCTAGGTTCTCCAGATAGACAGATAAGGCAGCTTCAGCAGCACCTCCACCAGCAACTACCTATGTTTCAATAATATTGCCAAAAATCAGTTTTTCTATTCAGGCCATAAAACATTAACATTCCAATTTGATGAACAAATCAACCAGCTAAATACATGAATGCCATGCAGGTCGAATATACCTACCAGGAGGTACTTATCTATTTAAGAATCACTTAAACAATGGCAACATTTTTATACGTAATTGCTTAGTTATACTATTTTCCCCAATTCCAAAGTGAACTCGTATGGTATTGATTTATGATGATATTTACCTTAAATGATGTAAAAACAGGTACTAGCCCATAGTATTAAAATAATAATAATAATAAATAAATAAAATATTGCTGGGTGTAGAAGATTTGATAAACAGAAGTGAATAGTGACAATTGATAACCGAGAACAACAAAGGCAAGGTTAATCTTCAGAATAGAATACAGCAACCCCCACTTGTTTACCGTATTAGATTCCAGAGTTCTTTTGACAATGCATATAGCATCGTGCAAAGCCCTGTCCATCTCGTCGAGCATGAAATCATTGGCACCCCTGAGTATCAATGAGACCTGAAGAAAGCACATGATTCAGACATCATATAATCCTCTAAAAATGTCTAAATCAAAATGAATCAGACATCTTGATCTTGACCATTTGTCAATGCTTTGAATAAAAAGAAATGTGATCCAAGTTGAAACGCATATACATAGACCCATACTGGCACCAGTTCATGGGGTGGCAAACTTAAACTAAAATCTAAACAATGAGATCTTAGAAAAATGGATATATTCAACTTCATAGGGAATATAATTCATACCGCACTGTTAGTTTTGGTCCCTTTTATCATAATCACATCATCATCAGCAATACGTTCTTCCACTACTTCATCAGCATAACCAAGAAGAGACGAATCAAATGTTTCTTCTCCTTCCATATCTGCAAACGTCGAAACCTGCAGCATTGGAAAAGAATAAAATAATTGCCCATCAAATACTGATCAAATCTATTTATGAATGAATTGCAGTGTTAATTATTTTCCAAGTCTTTCAACTCTTGATTTAGCTAGGATATAATTTGAACATATACATAGTTTGGAAGTTCCATTGACTTTTTTTTTCCTTTTGTATCTTTTTTGACAACAAATACATTCATTAATACAACATTAAGGAAGTGAACATCAATTGTAAGCACAAACAAGTAATATAAATGTCTTTTATCAATTTAATAAAAATCCTACTTTCTAGCACGTAAAAACTTCAAGATAAGCACAGGCACAGGTAGCTGGTCAACCTAAAAATTGATATTATGTATTCGTATAATATGAACAGAACAAGACATGATGATGCAGACGGAAGCGAGCAAGACAATAACACACGATCACAATTCATTAATTCGAGCACGAATACTGATTTGAATTAAGAAATTGGAGACAATCTCACAATAATAATATTTTATTAATTAAAACAAAAGCCACCTCAATGACACTGCCAGCTCCTCTATTATAATATCACACCGAAATCCTTAAATGAAAATCATAAATAAAGATATATAATTAAATTACTAGAAATAAAACGTCTTCGTCCAACTGCAGCACATATTCACCTCTCCAGGTTCACAAAAATTAATCATTGAATCTTGTCGCATTACTTCATCCGGTATCTTGTAATGGTGGTAAGTTCGCGCAAAAAATATCAATCAGCCCGTCCAATAGGCAAAACTCATCCCCCGAATGTAAGCTTATTTTCCAATCAAATCCGCCATCTAAATAGATTATTTCCTCAAGTCTAAAGCAGCCGCTCGAACTGATTTGGTAGTTTGTGAGGGTCAGCTCATTTTTATTGATGTCTCTTCAAAAATATCCAGAGCAACCCTTCTTAACTATTATTTTAGCGTCCTCACTTGTGGGATCAAGGAGTAAATTGATGCCACCATAAGCATGTTGTACTCCTTCAAGTCCAAACTGGGTAACGAGCAAAGCAAAGGAATAAAAATGTTGAAGAATGATAAACATCCTAAAAAATTGAGTGAATCATCTTGTGATAGTCTTCCCATGAAAGATGCAACCTTATTTTCTTCTAAAGTTATACTAGGCAACACTTCCAAGATGTTGAATGAATGATTGTGTTTCACCAATGAGCATATAAAACCTCTTTCCAAACCCTATCGAGACAAAATTATGTTCTACATGATCGTGTATTTCATTCCCCACATCATTATTGATAAACTCAAAATTTACCTTCAACTCTTCAAGGTCTCGACATTGGGCTCATAAAAAATTGGTGGACCGTAGTAATCTTCACTCGAAACCACATCTATTCATTACCAATGTTTAAAAAGCTGAAATGGATGCAGAGGCATCTTTCCTTTGTGAGGCGAGGTGTAAGCCTCAAGCGGATTGAGGTGTAAGCCTCACAACAAACAAAAAATTTAGTAAAATTTTTTAAAAATACAAAGAATTTAAAATCTAAGAGAGATAAGACCAATGTAGAAAGAAAATAGAAAAAATTAAATATCTGCCAGAATTTCCAAATGCCAGTTGCCTCCCTGGAATCTTGTGGAAGAAACTTCTTGCGTCTTGGGGGAGTGATGAGGCATGGGGTAGGGAGTGGGTTGTTTAGGTGTTTTTATTGTTTAGTTGATGGGCCCTTTTTCTGAGAAGAAGATTGGCCCAATTAAAAAGACTCTTTCATTTGAAAGTCACATTTAGACTTATAAAAAAATTTAAAAAAAATTCAAATGTTACAGCAAATCTGAGGCACACACCTCACGTGCCACGAGGCATTTGTCTCATTCGGTAAGGTGCATGCGTCAATTAAATAACACTGAACTTTGTGTTTTGATGAATTGAAGGTGTGCCTTTGTCACACCTTTTTAAACCATGTTCGTCGCATGAGATTGAAAGAAATAAGGATAATCATTGTTGTTAAGAGTCCTCCACGACTGACTCCACACCATTTATTGTACCACCTGCACCGACAACTCTGTTGTGCCGATCCCTATCATCACCTCCCTCGCATCAATCACCTTCACTATAAAAAACGGGAGCACCGTCATAATAATTATAGTCTAAATTCAAATATTCTGCAGCTTCATAAAAGAATAGGTCACTCTCATAGGCCCCTAAAGCACCTATCGTTGGGAGTTGCAGCGCAAGGAGTTCCCCCATAACCCAGGATCAATGAAGTAGCTCCTACAACACTGCTGAAACTAGCAACATGTAGAAACAAGGTGCCGTCCCTACTAAAACACATGTAATGTTGCTGCTATAAATTACCTTCATCACAGCTAAAAAATTGACCTCCATTTTTTTATTTTCTAATAGTAGAATTTCTTTTGCACACATGGTTGCAAAATTTAGCCAAGAATCAATTTTTTGCTTATCGTTCAGCACTCGATTGGCCTAAGTTTCTTTCCATCAACACACTGCTCGACCAGGAAATTACTCAGCCACCAAAGGTACTGTCTTATAGTCTGGCACTTACATGAAATCAAGATCCTCTTCTACTGTGTAGACCCAATCAAAAAATTCATCATCTTAGCATGCCGTCGAACTCAAGTATTTCAACTTTAAAACCACCTCCCCACCTCTTGAAACCTTGCAGAATATGTCTAGGCCATTGATAGGGCATACCATATTCGAAAGGATTGGTTTCTGTTTTCAATCCACTACTTGAATGTGTCAAACCCCCTGCTGCTATTCCCTCTTATGTTAAGAACGTAACCTTTCCACTGTTAGTCATGATTCACCCACTCATTTCCCCTTGCAACAACACTTATATGCTGGCTTTCTGCCACAGGTGGTGCTCCAGTACCTCCTCTCGCATGTTGGTCAGTTGCTGCGACTCCTATTGCAGCGTGTCATCTTCCATGGTCACCCCTAATTTCACTGCCTAACCCCCAACATATCATATTGTTGGATCAAAACTATGCCAACTCATAGGGTAAACAAATTGATTTTTTGTTGAACTTGCGTTCTCCCTCCAAACTCCATTCATGGTATGATTGCGACTTTAGGGTCGTCTCCTCGGTGGCGTCTCTACGAGAATCGCAACACGACTATGATACTAACTGACGCGGATAGAAGCGAGCAATACAATAACACGACCATAATTCATTAATTCGCACACGAATATCGATTTGGAAGAAATTGGAAAAATTCTTACAATTACATTATTCTATTAATCAAAACAAAAGCAACCTTCATGACACTGCTCGCTACTAATTTATAATCACCAAAACCATATTGCAACTTACTATGATATTATATCCAAGTCAAACTCCTAAAATATATCAAAAAAAAAAAGATGCCCATTAACAAATAAGAAATAATAATCACAAATAAGGACATGATTAAAGTACTAAGAACAAAGGCTCTTTGTCCAACCATAGCACATATTCATCCTCGTCACATGTACATCACAAATATTAAAAGGATTGTCTTTGGTGGAGATGGAGATAGAGATAGAGTTTAAATAGAATTCTAAAATAGTATTTAATTCTTAAGATTTTTTTAGAATATATTAGATTACTTATGATATGTCGATAACGTTCTAGTTTAGTAGAAGTTCGTTTGATTTGATATTCTTTCAGTTTCTTTAATCAATAAATAGAGGACTTATTCAATGTAATAATAACCCTTGATTATATGCATCAATTGATATCTTCTCTTGCCCTCAATTTCGCTCTTCTTTGCACCCCTTCTTTTCTTGTTTGTTGACAAATTATTCAGATTTCCGTTTCCCTACATGCTGGTTTAGGACAGCTTTTTCCTTTTTATCTTCTTGGTCCCTTTACCAACATTCTGAATTCTAGCAAATTTACAAGACTTTTAAGTCTGTAATTGATCCTAGTCATGTCAGAGCTGAATATAGTCATCATCTTTCTCTTAAAATTAAAAACAAAGATAGAAATGAAAACTATCGAAGACAGGAATATATATGATATGTGATAAAAAGTCAAGAAATATACTGCAGTAGCACCAGTTGCCTTGGCAACATGGCGCAGGTCCTCCTTACGGACACGTCTCACAGCAATGGCGCCAGCTTCCACAAAGTACTGGAACAACATGAAGTCAGAATTTAGCAGGATTTTCAACAGAAATAATACAAGAAAATCTGAGAAAAATGTAAAGACGAATTAAAGATTAAAAAAACAAGGTTGACGTCTCAAAGACTGATAACAAGAGGATTTTCCTACGCAAAGAAGATATTCCTAACAGCTACATAGTTTCTAAAGATGCTGCCAATCTGCCGGTACAAGTATTCTAAATCGCATGGTCTGCATGACAGGTCAAATACAAATTAATGGATATCCGATCTTTAGCAAATAAAAATAGAGCTTAGATGTTCTATGAGACACAAACTTCCACAATCACTTGACACAAGCAATCAAAGGTTATAAAGAATATTAAAAGGAATCAAATCAAGGGAAAAACTTGCCTTAAGTGCCATGTCATCGATTCCTTTGGTGGTTAAAACAACATTTGCTCCAGCCTTTAGAAGCTTCTCAATGCGTTCCTTTGTCATATCAGCTTCTCTGCAAGAAAACGCTCCTGTAAGTCCAGTAGTTCAGGGAGCACTATATTATAGAGATTTAAATTGTGGAAATAGCAGTGCTGCCTACAAAGCTGTCCTTAGCAAGCATAAGCACTACCAGAGGGAAAGAGATGCAACAGCATTTCAAGAGTACATACTACGTAGAAATTATTAGCTTTGATATAATACAGAGGCATAGAAATTACATCTTTTACTCCATCTATGCATGCCAACTTAGTAGATAAACATAAAACAATATACAGAAGTACCTACCATCCTATGCACAAAAGGTTTACAGAGCGCGTAAACTGTCAAAAATGCTATAATTTATGCTACAATAACACTTCAAAGGATCATAACATTAATCACCTCTGACGAATCTTTTCCAATTCCCTGGGATCAGTGACCAAAACCTGGACGCCCATCTGCATTTTAGTCTTCTGAAGATTGAAGTCAAGACAAGCAATCCTAGCAGGGGCAACTCTCATCGGCATTCCCTGAGCGGCACGGCCAGTGTTGAGAGCATATCCTTTTAAGAGATAGCTATCTCTGGCACTTTTTCCATGGGCTTTAAGAATATTAATTCCCTGAACAGAAAAAACATTATTACAAATCAAATATTGCAAATCAAAGGTTAGAGGATCTTGACAAGAAAAAAATCATTTATTCTTTGGGGAAAATTACTTTCTCGTATCCAGCTATCAATTCTAAATCCACAAAACATGTGACGCCCTTTTACCCATTGATTGGCACCATAGAATATAAGTATTCAAATTAAATCCAACATAAAGTTCCTATCATATATAAAGCTCACTGGGTTCAGTTACAGGATAACAGAAAAACCTCTAAGAAACAAGCTAACAAATTTAATACTAAACCATGAGCCACAACCTTGATTGGATATTTAACTTCTCCCCTCGCATTTGTCATCTTCACTGCTTGTACAGCTTCAACAACCTAAAAGCAAAAGCAAGTTGCATGGTAATTCCTTGAGAAAGATACAGTCATTGGAATGGGAAGCATTCCTTATTGAACAAAATCAAGCAACAGAATAGAGAAACTCACACATGACAGAAGATTCAAAGTACAATAAAGTAGAAGGAAAATGGAGAACCATTTATTGGTAAGTCTACTCAAGCAACACGATTTAAAGCAACAAATCTAGGGTGAAATTATATATCTTCAGATCGAAACATTGACCTTATAGAAACAGGCTTCACTTCAACAGGTTATTGGCTGCAGACAGAGACTAGAAAAAGCTATATAATCATGCAATCTAAGTTTTATGTTCCAACAAAATAGCATGACCAAAACTGAAGAGGTGTTGATACAATACAAAACTTGACAGATGCATTGCACAAGACTGGGAAACAGGAGAAAAACTCGCAGTTGTTGGAAGTACAAGTTTAACAAATGCAATTTCAGAAACATTGCACCAACAGTTTTCTAGTCACTAGAGCACAAACTCCACGGAGTAACTTGTAACTTCATCAGTTGCTTGCTAAAGATAACAAGGAAGAATGGGCAGTACCAGATTCGCAAAGAAGTCACTGTCACCACCTATCAACTTCGAGGACATAGTGGTCTTGGCACTGTTTACAAGAGAATCTTTACCGAGTTTTTCAACCTAAAATGAGATAAAGAAAAAACTGTTAAAATCAATACATTTTGACTCTTCACGTCACCGCACGCAGAGAAGAAGCACCAAATTACCAGCATCATATTTACACATTCCAATATTTCATAAACTGGAGATTCATATGAGTAACTCATCTGACTTCGGAGTTCTTTATAAGTATTCAGTATTCATAAAAGTTATCCTTGAATTATAATAACCACAATTCTGGAACAATTTTTCTCAAAAGAATCTGTAAATTAAATGAGCAATCTATGATATGACACTGAATTTGCATTACATTAGATAGCAGCGGACTTCAAAGATCTTTGTAGTTTTGGCTGTATTGATTCAAACGTGCACAGAACTATAATAACTATTTGGAACAGATAAACACTATTAACTCTAACGGAATCCATTCACAGAGGGATCATTACCTTCACAGCCAATTTTTCATCAACATATTTGCACGCTTCCCTCATGGCAAGCTGCCACCAAATTAATTTTGATGAGTAAAAAGCATAGCATAGATGTGAAACAGAGCAACAAAGTAAAAGATGAAATTTCAATTACTTAAGATAAAATCCTATTGAAAAAGAAGAAAAGAATCTTTGAGTTCTATACGCACTCTGTATCCACTGATTATTGATGTTGGGTGGATCTTATTTCTGACCAAATCATTAGCTCTCTGCATAATAATTTCAAATTAGCAACAAGGGATAATTTGGGTGAAGATTGAACACCACGCACATGAAATGAGAAAATAAATGTTTTATCCGTTGAGCAAACAGGAAATAAAATATTACCTTAAGCAATTCTGCAGCTATGATCACCACGGATGTTGTCCCATCTCCAACTTCCCGGTCTTGAAGTTCCGCCAGCTCAACAAGAACCTGTTACATCAGAAGAAGTCAATTCTCATATGTTTCAAATGTTTAATATTGAAGAATGAGCAAGAAATGTTGTATCCATAGACCTTGGCAGCTGGATGCTCAACTTCCAGCATCTTCAGTATCGTGGCACCATCATTAGTTATTGTCACATCACCAATATCATCAACAAGCATCTGGGAAGTACCAGGACCAGATAATCAATAAATATACTCCCACATCAATTGCGAAGTTCAAAGTTTAAAATAAAAAGGTTAAAACATTATAAAAGTGTTCACCATGGGAACCAAAATCTTCGCCTAACAAGTTGACTCACAAAACAATGACTTGCTTGCTAGTCATCATGAATAAAAATATGCAAAAAGTAAAACGAAAATAGCCCTTTCTACAAGGAGAAAATCTGCATTTCCTATACCGAGATATTAAAATCAAAAGTTATCATCAAAGAAAAAACCCTGAGCAATATAGGAAACCAGAAAAGTAGAAAAATAGGGTTAAAGATACAATAATAAACCTAAACCTATATGTTACAGGTTTACAGCACATAGATTGATGGTCTTACAATAGTAAAAAAAATATTAAGAAAATTGGTGCAGAAGGGAGCATCTTGTTACATAAAACGGAGCTTGATGTCTAACCTGCAGCAATTACCCCTAGGCCTTATAAATGAGGGGCAGATTAAAAATTTTACATCTCACAAAGTTCAACTTTTGAATTTTATGTAATGCAAAAGATGGTTCACAAAGGTAAGATATCTCTTTAAATAAAATATTCCTGCAGAGTTTCTTCACATTTTTAGGACAAGCAAATATAAAATACGAAATGGGTATTCAATGCAGGTTTACAGAAACTGAGAGTCAAGGAAGAACGTGAAATCTTCAATTGTTGAAGATTAGGAATCTTATTTTAATGTAGAGTTGTTTATTCCAAATATTATTGTAAATGCGAATCATGAATGAGGATATCTTTTACTAGGATCCTCCATTAGTTCCATGACCAATGTGCATTGCAGAGTGGCCACTTAAAGAGAACACTAAATCATAAACTCAGTATTTGTAGCTCAATACATAGGCTACATAAAGGCTGATGGATATTTGTAACCATTGTTCTATGAACTCTACAATATTTGCCATCAACATCTTTCTGAATCCAGAATTGCATGGCATTCAACAGCCAGGATTTTAAAATGAACACACTACAAGCTTCTATACCACAAGTTGATAAGAAGCATTTCCTAATACGAAAGGTGTTTTAGTTAATATTACAATCAGTCATGTCAATCACTTAGTTAGTTACTGACTTACTTCAACTCACAACCCAACAAATTTCAGAAACATATGACGGCAAAAATTTAGAGTAATCGCATATTACCCAAATGGAATTAGGTGTCTTTTTCTCCTAGTATAGTCTAATGACAGTAGCATAAAAACCAAGGTAGCTGTAGACAACAGATCCCTCTTAAACAATATGGATCAAAACTTCACTCATCTTCATTCCAATACAAAGTCTTATTTAAAAAAAAAAAAAAAGATCAAATCAAATCCACGTAAATATAAATCTAAATCTATGTACTCATGCGTTTTATACCTTGTCAAGGCCAACAGGCCCAAGAGAGGATTTCACAATGTTTGCAACTGCTTGGCATGCCATGACTGCACATTTCCAAAAGCAAAAATCAATATATAAACAAAAATAATAATATCTAAATGACACGCATACATACATATCGAGAATGATAAAGTACCATTTTGAGTTCGAACGTCCTGGCCAGATTGTCGTTCGCCAGAAATATCAGGAGTCCGGGATGTAAATGCCATTTTCTACTGAAATTAGAAATAATTTAGGAAATTGGAAGTCCAAATACAGAATCTGCAAGATATTGAGGGTGAGATTCAGAAAATGGAAGAGAAATGGGTATCTCCGGATAGTTCCGCGCTCGAAGGATGGAGAAACCTCAGTGGATTTGCGAGGGTTTGAAAGAAAGAGGTTTATGGGGAGTCAACGACGTCGTATTATAGTGGCTTGGTATATGATTGAGCTGGGCCGCTACTT